AAAAAAAAAAAAAAAACAAAAAAAAAATTTTTAAAAATCTTTCCAAAAGCATCAGAAAGCCAATGAGATAGTAAGAGATTATCACGGCAAAATCTAACAGAAAACAAAAGATAAACAGCAATAACTCTGCTTTGGGCCTGAGAACATTTATTAAAACTAGTGACCGTAAGTTTCAGTTTTTACTGTGGCATAGGGGATAGAAAACAAAGCCCAGGATTTGCCCACGTGGTGTAGTCTATTGGGAAACTCTCACCACGTATAGCTAGGATGATAAAGGGCTACACCCTAGTAGGGTGAGCCGAAGGTAAACTTTTCTACCCCTGGGGAATGCATGGAAAATTGTCCTCTGCTTAGCAGACCGCCGATGGGTACAAGGCTTATTTTGGGGGTGATGAAATGTTCTCGAATTAAATAGTAGTTGTGGTTGTATAACTGTGAATATACTAAAATTTACTGAATTATGTACTTTACAAGGGTGAATTTTAAAGTATGTGAAGTATATCAATAAAGCTATTATAAAAAATATGAAGGATAGAGTGAGAAGGTCATATTATGTCTAATTGCAACTCTAAAAGAGAAGAGAATATGGAACAGAGACAATATTTGAAGACATAATGGCTGAGAATTTTCTAGAACTAGTGGAGGATTCCAATTCACAGATTCAAGAAATCCAAAGATTCCCAAGCATGATCAATGCTAGGAAATACTCAACTAGATTCATCAGAGTGAAGTTGTCAAAAATAGAGATCATAAAAGCAGCATAGAAAGAGGCAACAATTAGATACTATCCCATTCTTGTCATAGCTTATATTGGAACTTCATTCCTTTTTATGACCAAACAATCCATTGTATGTATATACTATGTTTTGTTTATACATTCATCTGTTGATGGACACTTGGATCATTTCCACTTTTGGCTGTTGTGAATAATGCCACTCTGAACATTCATGTATAAGTATCTGTTTGAGTCCCTGCTTTCAATTGTTTTGACAGTCTGTTTACTTTTAACATACTTTTCTTCTACAAGCACAAATTTATTTGGAATAAAGCCAAAGGATATTTTATTTCCACAGTCCCTCTTTTATAATGCTACAGGCTCTTACTGTGAGCCATCTGGAGTTACCAAGACCCTATGTAATATGCAGAAGCAGGCAGCAGTTATCTACTGACAAACTGGTTTTTAATTTGCCCAAAACTCTGTGACACTTATATATTGACAAAGATTCTCTCCCTGATCAAACTCAGGTTTACCTGAACCTTTTTCTTTTTTCTTTTTTTCTTTTGAGACAGACTCTCACTCTGTCACCCTAGGTAGAGTGCAGTGGCATCATTGTAGCTCACTTTAACCTCAAACTTCGGGGCTCAAGTAATCCTCCTGCCTCAGCCTCCTGAGTAGCTGGGACTAGAGGTGCATGCCATGATGCCTGGCTAATTTTTCTGTATTTAGTAGAGACGGAGTCTCACTCTTGCTCAGGCTGGTCTTGAACTCCTGGCCTCAAGTGATCCTCCCACCTTGGCCTCCCAAAGTGCTAGGATTACAGGCATGAGCCACTGCACCCAGCCCTTTTAAGCATTATTTGAAGTTCACTTCCTAGTTATGTTGACCCAGGGAAGAAATAAGAGATTAAAATAGATACTCTTACAGAAAAATTATTTATGAAACTTTATCTTAAAGCATGGTAAAGAAGACTTTATTCAAGAGGTCCATGGTGATAGGTGTAGGGACCACTGCAATGGGGTTTTGCAGTGGAGGAGAAAGACTGGCCTCAACTCTGAATACAGCATGGGCAAGTGGGAATTTATAGCCAAGAAACAAGTTAGTGGGTTGGTGGATAGAAAATTCCTAAGAAGGGGTGGGCACAGTGGCTCACACCTGTAATCCTAGCACTTTGGGAGGCAGAGGCGGGAAGATTGCTTAAGGCCAGGAGTTCGAGATCAGCTTCAGCAAGACCAGGACTGTCCCTCCATAAATTAACATTACTATATTAGAGACAGAAATGATCTCAGGAGTTTTGCAGGGCTTTGCCCTAAAGGAATATGTGAACGTGTTAGTTTGCATATCAAAAGCTGCTTCACCTCAGGAGGGCATCTCAAAGGTCAGTGGCAGCTGCTTTCCAAGGTGATGCTGCAGTCTCAAACCTGTGGTTCTCGCCTGCTTTAAATGACAAAGCAGGTCTGCAAGGAGCCACAGGATGAGAGCTGATCAAAGAGTGCCCGCCCTGAGAGACAGACACCTGTGGCTAAAAACAATAAGCCCAAGGGACAGTTCCTGCTCGACTTCTGATCACCTGTCTCCATTTGCAATAACTAGATAAAGAAATATGGAACCATTGTATCTCTGTTTAACCCTTCTGTTAAGTGATAGCTTTATCTTAGAAGTTTGTCTCTGAAAGATTTTGTAACCATATGTTCCCATAGATAGAGTTAATTAAGGGATCTATAGAAGCCTTTTGAAATACTTTTAACCTAAAATGAACTACCTGTTATTATGTAAACCTGTTACCCCTAACAACCGATCTCTGTACCTATAAATACCCATGTTAAACTTTATTCTTGGCCTCACAATTGATGGGGATATTCGTGAGGACCCCCGAGTACCCTCGCTTTGCTTTTTCTTTATATAAATCTTTAAAACTATACCTTCATCTCTGTGTATTCTTTTATTTCTATTATTTTCTTATCCTTTGCGATGACCCCTGCCTAGGGGACCTGATTTTTTGCTGGAAGCATAGCTAACTCCCTGCACAGGACCCCTTCTCTACAAAAAAGTTGGCTGGGCATGGTGGCGCATGCCTGTAGTCCCAGCTACTCGGGAGGCTGAGGCAGGAGGATGGCTTGAGCCCAGGAGTTTGAGGTCGTAGTGAGCTGTGATGATGCCACTGCACTGTAGCCGAGGTGACAGAGTGAGACCCTGTCTCAAAAAAAAAGATAATGCTTAAAAGAAATTTATACTACCTTTTGGTCTTTAAGGTCCCCATTTCTGGATCAACTCAGTTTTATCTCTGAAGTGCTATCCTTTCTTTAGTTGTAGGATCAAAATTACTATAGTAGACTAAATAATGGCCCTCAAAGATGTCAGGTTCTTGTAACCATAAAGCCTGGTCAGAAAAAAAAAAAAAAGAAAAAAAAAACAATGTCAGGTTCTAATCCCTGGAATCTGTAAATGTTAACCTTATTTGGAAAAAAATATTTTGTGTATGCAATTAAGGATTTTGAGATAGAGAGATTATCGAGGTGAGACCCAAATACAACCACAAGTGTCCTTATAAGAGAGAGACAGATGGAACTTTGACACAGGCAGAGGAGAAGGCAGTGTGACCACGGAGGCAGAGATTGAAGCGATACAGCCATAGACGCCTGTAGTCCCCAGAGGCTGGAAGACACAGGGGACAGATTCTCCCCTGGGGCTTCTGGAGGAAACATGGCTTTGACAACACTGATTTGGTCCAGTGATACTGATTTTTGGACTTCTGTCCTACAGAACTATGAGATAAAAAATTTGTTTTAAGTCACAAAGTTTGTGGTAATTTGTTACAACAGCCACAGGAAGTGAATATGATTACTTACAAAGATAATTTGCATTAAATTGCAAAAGCAATTTTCTACTAAAGGGAATAGACAGTATTCTGTGACCAGATAATTATATTTGACACATGAATTTCCAATAGGGCTAAGAATCGTAGTCAGTATCAGATTTTATTGATTCTCTGAAAGAAAATTGTTCCTCATTTGTCAGGTTAGTTAGCTCCTCAAGTCATTGTTTTTTAAACTTCCACCTAGTCTATAATGGTTCAAAATAATTATTGGCCAAAATAAAGTCATGATTTAATGGGTTTTATTTTAAATATTATGATTCAAGAATTAACTTAGTTAAAAGAAATAACAAAGTCTTTCTGTTTTTCAGAATGAGGATTATTGAAAATAATTCCTCAAAGATTCAATCACAAATAGATAAAGTGAAACAGCTAAGGGCAGAGTATGACACAAAAGAAGTAACATATCATACTTTCTCCAAAGATCCTTCAAAACCTATTCCAGGTACTGTATTTTGTTTAAAATATTTGAGAGAAGTCCCAACTGTTTCCAGTTATTATCTATTACACAAATTAATATAAATGTGCTGATATGTGTGCATCTTCCAAGCATATATTGTATAAACAACTTTAGTCAGGACTCTAGTTAGATACAAGGGAATGAAAAAACTTTAAATAACCCTAAAAGATTAAAAGAGTTCTAGTCTGACTGGGTTATATAAAGTGTAACGCAGTGGCTCTTACAGTGTGGTTCCTGTATCAACATCAGCATCAGTGGGAAGCTGTTAGAAATGCAAATTTTTGGGCCGCATCACAGACTTACTGTGTCAGAAACTCAATGGGTGGAGTTCAGCAGTCAGTGTTTTAACAAGTCCTTTGGGTTATTCTGATGTACTCTAAAGTTCGAGAACCACTGGTATAATACATGGAAAAACTGTAGTGTATTAAGTTGTGGTGATGAATATTGTTGATTTATGCTGATGTCAGCATTCACTGGTTCTACATCTTTTATATAATACTGTTGCCACATTTTAAGAAATTGGAGTATATCCTGGAATTCATTGAGAATGTTGAGAAGTTTGTATGATAAATGGATATAAGAATTGCAAATATTCAACCTGGGGAAACAAAAGACTTTGAGGATAGATAACAGTATTCAAAACTTTTAAAGATTTTGGCTAGTGTTTATTCAGAGGCAAGATTAATAGGTAGAAATTTTAGGAAGCCAGATTTGGTTTCAGTAGAAGAAGCTCTGTCTTGAGGTAATGAGCTACTTCTTACTGGAGGATTTCAACTGAGATTGAATGATCATTTTGCATTTGGCGAAAGTAGGGACTAGAATCACTTTCAAATATAAAATTGTGACTGGCAAATAACAAATAAGGTACATATGTTAATAAGTACAAAATAACTGACAAGTTGACTAAATGCTGAGAAGTTTCAGGGTAAGAGAATGATTAAAACTGAGTAGAATTAATCCAGGGAAGTTTTTGGAGATGGGGTATTTTGAGGTATGTCTTAAAGTCAGTAATTGGCCCGAGTAGGAAAGAAAGGCATTTGAAGTGTGTGTGTGTGTGTGTGTGTGTGTGTGTGTGTGTGTGTTATGAATAATGAATAGAGGAAACAGAGGGAGAGAGGATGGAAGATTTTTGGCAGGCATTTATAAGTTTTGTTTTAGAAAGAATAAACTGATTACCCTGGGGTTAGCTCTGGTAGAGTAATCGGAGATTTGGTTAGAAAGAAATCTAATGAATCCTGAATTGTTAGGCAGAGGCTCTTGGTTTTATTGAGTAACAGTGATATGTAGGGGTTTTCAGAGTGTGGTGATGAATGAGGTCATTAAAAAGATTTTTTTTCAGATGCTCAGGTGTGTGTGTTCTCAGAACAGTCTTCACTGATGATTTTTAGAACTGCTAGTCATTTACAATTTTATGCTGATTCTACTTATGTTCAGTAAGCTACAAGTACATACTACCATTTCTGAATTATTTTTTAACATAGTGAACTCTCTCGCGTACGTTGCTAAGACTTGCTGTTTGAGCACAAGAGTCCGTGGCCTGTTTGGTTTATTCCCCTTTCCCTTAGGCATGACTCTCCAACAATCCGTCAATCTAGATGCTCTCACTAAATACATGAAACATCTTGAAGATAAATATGCAGAAATTAAACAAGCTATGATGATAAAATATGTACCAGCTCAAAAGAAGATTGATTTAGATGAGGAGATGATGGTGTCATTAAAACGGCGAGATGTAGCGGAAAATCTGAACAAAGAATTGCAGTTTCGGTATAAAAGGCGATTATATGTTTTTAAAGTTTGAAGCTTTTATTTGTGTTTATTCTACTATTCCACCGTTTGATTTTAGGCTCAGTATGTTATTGATTTTTTTTTATCTTTATAGTCATCACAGACTACAGATAATCTCATATGCACTTGCTTCATGGGTAAAATCTGATATGAGCAGCTCATTTCAAGACTTTGTGGAACAAATTCAGAAAACCAAAATTTTAAATGGTAACTTATCTGTATTTTTTAATTAGCACAAATAATGGAAGACATTTTTCCCCAGAAAGTTAAAGAACAGGGTTTTCTTAGGCTGAGTTTAAAGAAAGCAAAAATATACTTACTTCTGCTAGTTTTCTGTTACCCTATGGGTTTCTTCCTTCTACAGCTGAGAGATAATTGGTAAAGAATAGATTTGGTGAGCCTGAGAGAGAATGCCTGAAAATGTACCTGAAAATAAAGAGGAAAGGGACAGGGAAGCCACTCAGTTTAGGAAGAGGTTGGTGCTGTTAGAAACCATAGGAATAAGTTGTTGGTATTAAACACATGTATATTTATTATTTTCTATTGATAAATAACCTTAAATGTCTTCCAGTAGTACTTTCAATATTTACAGATGACCAAGGCATTGTTGAGGAAGTACTAGAAGATGATCCAACCAAAGCAAAAGAAGCTGAAATTACACTTTACTACATTGACAGGCAAATATTTTTAAAACTTTGATTTTCTATGTTAAAATGACCGTATTTACCACTTATTTGGTATCTTGATGAGCCATAGTCTCTAGCTTTTATATCTTTACAAGTTTGAGTATGAACTAGGATTTTGTTTTTTTCCATAGATTCTTTGTGAAAAAAATACCAGATTGAGAATCTAGATTTTTCAGAAGAGATAAGAGGACTATAGTGTTGATATAAGTTTTATTCGTACAGGTTGAACATCCCTAATCCAAAAATCCAAAATCTGAAATGCTCCAAAATCTAAAACTTTTTGAGTGCTGACATGAGATAGTGACATCTTTGCTTTCTGATGTACATAAACTTTGTTTCATGTACAAAATTATTAAAAGTATTGTATAAAATTACCTTTAGGCCATGTGTAAAAGGTGTATATGAAACATAAATGAATGTTGTGCTTAGTCTTGGGTCCCATCCCCAAGATATCTCATTATGTATGTGCAAATATTCCAAAATCTGAAAAAATCTGAAATTCAAAACACCTCTGCTTCCAAGCATTTTGGATAAGGGAGACTCAACCTGTAATTTTTCTACATTCCCTAGCCATCAACCTGATGTTACAAAATATTTTTGAAAATGTCTTCTTTTTTTTTAAAAAAAAAAAAACCCACAGTTTATTTAGCTTTAGTTCTTCCAAAATTGGAAATATCAAGTCCTACTGCTAAAGAGAAAAAACAAACAAACATAAAATCCAAGACCCCTCCCCCCTCTTCTTTTAAAGTCACAGAACATGGAAGGAAATGCAGTGGGACAGGTGGACACAGAGAACCAGAAGGGGAGGATGGCAAGTAAACTCCCCCAATACTTAAAAAGCTGTTCAACAGAAACTGCAATAAATACAGGACAATGCAAGACAAGTAAAAATAAGGAGCAGCAGTGATGAGAGGCTGTGTTGTAGATATGGCCTTCCTTCCTCTTCTCTTTTCTCATCAGGGTATTCTAGGCCCGAGGCATGACTTGCCCCTTCCAGATCTAAATGTTGACTCCTTGGAGCCTTCCTCTAGTTTTCATTAGAAGCAGAATATGTGGCACAACCATTCTTCCTTAGATATATCAGGAAAAAAAAAAAAAAAAAGACAGTGGTAATTTTGCCTTATATCATCGTACCATGTGTGAATTTGTAAGGAGAAATAACCGAGCCAGGGAGTGTCACTGTTTCTTAGGTCTTCCAAAGCAGCAGAAATACCTCAGAATCTTCTTGATTCAGATTATCCTAGCCAATTCAGTCCTTTCTCATTATTTCTATCCTATGACTTATTAAGAAGGCATATTTCTCTCTAATACTTAAGTTATTATATATAGTATATATTAGGCTTAAAGAGATCTAAGTCTATATTCTTTAAGAGGTTAATTCGTAGGCTCTGAGGCCAGTATGTAATGAACATATTTAATATTCCTAGTCTTATATGTTAAACAATTTTCAACTGTTGATTTGCTTGTTGATATGGTACAAAGAAGAAGATGAAGATAATTTGGGAGAGGGGCACAAAAGCCTGTGTTATTTCCTTATTCTGTGTGCTTCTCTAAGTCTACTGGTTTTGACATGAGAGAAGAATGCTTGTTGAGATTGAGAGTTTCATGTATTTCGCTTAATATTACTTTAGTGGCTTTTCCCCCTGGAGTTCCACATTCATTTGCAACACTATGTAAATCCTGTTTGCCATAGTTTTATTAATTGTGAGATAAGGGCTGATTTGAAGACCTTTTGCCATAGGAAGAAGAATAGAGGCTTAAGTTATCCTATTATCTTTCCTTCTTATGTTAGTCTAATATTTAATTGAGAGTCTGATGCGTGGCAGAGCAACATAGGCAGAAAAATACCAAGGACACCTTTCGATCTTCAAATTGGCATCTTCTATGTTCAATTAATATTTCCTGTAGGCTGAATTTCTAGGCAGATTGCCCTTCTTTGCCAATACTGGTACTTTTTCATATGGCCATGATTTGAGAGAATAAAATTTGAGGTCATTGTAATTTCACTTCAAGCTCGCTCTTTCTTTCCTTTATGGCTGCTGTAAGTACTATAGGAATAAAGTACAGGATCAGGTTTAAAGTCAGCTAGCAGGTGAGAGTTTTATTCTGAGACTAAAAGAAACAACAGAACATTAGAGAAAGAATTTAAAGAACATCTTACAGAGTGAATGAATCTAGTTATTGTTTATTAGAATTGCTTTTTGTTTTTTACATGATTATGCCACTATATTTAGTCTGTAGTACACATTTTAATCATTTTTCTCTCTTTTTCTGTGTATCATTATGATGCATTATAAAATGCAATGGCCATAGGTTTAACAAATTAATCTCACTTCGTGAATATGAAAAGGCAGCTCATTTTGCAGCCAACAGTCCTAGAAGAATTCTTCGAAATGTTGGTACAATGAATAAATTGAAGGGTAAGCATCTCTCTCTAAACCTTGTATATGTATGCAAATTATACTATTTCTCTGTTAGAAGGGAAAGAGTGTTAAACTGGGAGACTAAAAATCTAGTCTCCAGCCCTGTTTACTTACTGTCCTTAGCTGTAACACTAAGGGGTTTGATTAGATTTTCTAAATTAAATTATGAGATATTTTAAGTATATAGAAAAGGATGGAGAAAAACATTAACACCCATATACTTACTTTCAAGATTTAACTATTATAACCTACCTACTGAGATACAAAGATTAGTAAGACCAAATCCTCACTGTCAATGAGATAAAAGACTAATTGAGAAGAGAGATAAAGACTCAGACAAATGTGGACCTAGCTCATTCGTTCATTCAACAAAATTGATTGTCTGATATATACCAGACATTGTTCGAGGTGGTGGAGATATAGCAGAAAATAAAACCTATGAAAACTCTTGTCATCATGGAGCTTACATGTAGTGTGATTCTGGTAATATGAACAAAGTTCTCTGGAAAGTTAGAAAAGAATTAATAATAGTTTGGTCTCCTGCCCTCAATTGTACCTGTCGTCTTCATGTAGACACCCTTTGTTTTATCTTTTTTAGAGAATAAGCCTTCGTCTTTTCTAGGTACTGGAAGAGGGTGTCATCTGACAGGG